CTGAAAAAGAAGAAACAAGTCATTAGTTGGATAACATCCAAAGTATCCAATACTACCAATTTATTTATTAATATCAGTTTTATCATAACATCATGGATACAGTTATACTCCTCCATTTGTATGTCTGTTACACCATGCCATTACCTAACGTAAATAATTGACCATTCTGTTTTGACATTGTTTGGTTTAGGTGAGAGAGCTAAGGAGAAAGGAAAGTTATCACAAAGAATATTATATGCAAAGTGTTAATGATGTTAAGTCATAAGAATTTGTATTTGTTTTGATTTTTTTTTACTATATATTTGCCATAGAGGGTATATATCGATCTGGGTGACCTAACTACTAAATAATCTGAGTAAATTCATTTTTAAGAGAAGCTGTAAATGTTTGAGCTTAGCATTTATCAGATATTGTATTTTTATTTATTTTTATTTTTTTTAACATATGGCTGACTTCGAAGGCTATATAATAAACGAATTCAAAGTGAACTTTGCAGAGTTATTTCCCTTACAACCAACATACGCGCAAGTTGACCAACTCGGTTTTCAATGTTTTTTTTTTTTGTTGTGTCTTTTTTTTTTTGTTTTGTTTTTTTTATTAATATTTCAGTGCTAAAATATTTAAATACTTCCTGGAAAATACTGGCGGAAAAATTAAATATGCAAAATTTTACAACGACAAGAGTAATTTCATTCATTTTACTTGAGAAAAAACAAAAATTATAATTTAACCAATTTTCTTTTTTCAGGCAAAATTAAAGAACAATTTTATTTGCGCTTTGTGTTAAAAACTGGTTATAACTGTTGAATATTAAAATTATTTTTTAAGGTTTTAATATGATTTTACTGTGTGTGTATTATAACAAATTTTTAATACACACTTAAACTAAACTAACATTTAAAAAATGAAACATCTACTCTGGTACCATGAAATATGCACATGAAATATTCTCCATAAAACAAACAGAACTTAAAAAGTGATACAAACACTAACACCAATATACACATCACATCTACCAATAAAAACAAAACATATAATTTAAAACTTGAAATATAACTGAATCATTCCTGTTGAATCAGCAGTAGTATTGATAAAATTTACAATGGCAACAATGGTAAAAATAAGAAAAACAAAGCAAAATATAAGAAATGAATAACATAATGCAAGGCAAGGCAACTATAAGACAAAAGCAAAATAAAGCAATTATAAGACAATAAAAAAACAAACTGTTTATATGCAAATGGGATCAAGGCAAGAAAGAAACTAGACACTAGATGTGAAATATATTCCACAAACTAAAATGGTCAAAAAAAAAAATTAAGTGTGTAAAATTTACTAACAATTTTGAAATTTTTAATGTATGTAACAATTCTTTAATCCCAATTATAGAAAGGAAAACAGCTTACCTCCTGGAACAAAATGTGCTTGTACATGTCTTGCATGCAAAATACGTAAAAGAAAATATGGCTGATCCAAAAGCTGCAATTTAAGAACAACTTGATTTCGGATCTCAGATTTTGCAAGACAAATTTATGACTTATGCAAATTTCTGAGCCTCTGCTACTTGATAAAATGAGCTTGAGTGAGGGAATATCAGACAGGCAGCAGATGCTGACGAGTCGAGTGGTTTGACTTTGTGTGTGGAGTTTTGTGGTAGTCTCACCAATTGTGATTGAAAAGACAGGGTACAACTGGTACTCCAAACAGATGTACCCTTTTTGCTACACCAGTTGAAGAAAACTATTACTAAGAGGTTACACAACCAAATAATCCAACCAACAATGCGGAAAATAATACCAGTGAGGAAACCTCTACCAGAACATTCCAAACCCAAAATTTCTGATCAAGTTCAATAAATAGTGGAAATATGTTAAATTTATTAAGATTTCCTATTTATTCAATCATTGGAAATTTTCAAAGCATTGTCAGTGGTCAAGAATTCTTACAAAAGGTTAGTGACAATAGAGACATAGTAAAAAGAATAGACATTTTATATGTATTAAATATTTTTTTTAAGTTTGCAAAGAGCATTTTGCAAATGTGGCTGTTGCGGATGCATAAAATAGCCAAAATTTGTGTAGTGTTGAAACTTTCAACTCGCATAAGTCATCATCGGGGGTCTGAGTAAGAAAAGACAAAAAAAATGACACCAAGTGCATTTTAATCAGTACATTATTTTAAAAGTGTCATTTTTTTGTCTGAATCCAATGCAGGAGAACAGGTGTCTACAATAGGTAATGGCGGTGTATAATAGCAATGTATAAAGGTGTATATATATTTTTTTATGTGTATTCAAGAATATGGGATCTTAGACTATAGTTATTTTTATTTACTGACAGTTGCTTATATTATGCACATTCACAAACCCCTGTATGATAATGCAAGTCAAAAACTTAGACACAACAAACCAAATTTTGAAAAACGATCAATAAATATATTAGACATAAAATGTGTGTTATTTTTAATGTGACATGTTTACTATCTTTGATACTCAGAGCCAAAAGAGAAAAAAAGGAAGGAAAAGGAATAGCGAGACAAGAAAAATGATGAAAAGTAGAAATAAACACAACATTTGATGCATACACACGCATACACAAGTACACGCACATACACAAAAAGAAAAAAAAAAAATCAGCTTAACACCAATAATAAGTGCATCTCAACTAGCACATAAATTAATTACATCACTATAAAGATAGAAAATGAGAAAAACAGCAGTCAATTGCTGAAACCTCCTGAAGAGTGGACTGGACAATTACAAAAGAAGTTCATCTATGAAACTCTAGAGTCAGTTAAGTGACAAATTTTATTTGTATTAATCCTCTCTCTTATATATATATATATATATATATACATATATATATATATATAATTTGGGCAGCAACCTTTCTTTTAAACATCTTTCATTAATAAGGCAGATGAGAAAAATTTAATTTTTTTTATTTTTTATTTAGTTTTTCCAGTGTTTTTATGTATTTCTATTTGGTGGGCATAAGGAAATACAAGAATTTTCCATAATTTTCATTACCCCAAGCGGTTTCAGCAACTTTAGCCATTTTCATGGGGTTTTTGATGCCGTTAGTTTTTCTTCATGTTTTTGACTATATAAGTTATATTTTATTTTTGTGTTGGTTTGAATAGGATTGTTTATTCATGTGTTGAGTGTGGCTGGCATTCAAGCGAGCATCTTTCTATTTTTAAAAAATTTTTAACACTCCATTCCCACTGTTAAATAAGGTGAGGTTGATAGTAGGAAAGAAAAGTTTAATATACAAGGCCTCTCCTATAGTGAGATGTTTCTGGTAATGTGATTTATGTAGAATTTTAGTGTTTTCAGCCAGAATTATATATATATATATATATATATATATATATATATATATATATAAAATGTGTATTATATGTAAAAATTCAGATATAAATAAAACATTTGTATAAAGAGAAAAGAAAAACATTTTAATGTGTTTCATCCTCTGATAGACTTTATCAAGGTAAATGTAAGGATTTTATTTTGCAACATGTATTTATAAACAGAAGTAAGAATATTGTTAGGCTTTCAAAATTCTTAAATTTAAGAACACTCAAAATATTCTTGAGGCTAACTGTGAAAGTCAAGGTAAACTATGGTGGATGCTAAGTGGTGTAATTTAATGCCCAAGAAATGAAAGTGAGTAAATGCTGCTATACTTGTTGAACTTATTTTCTTATATATATTTATTTGCCATTTATATTAATGTAATTATTATTTTAGTTTAATTCCATAAATTACTTATGTATTTATTTATTTCAAGTAATAGGTCAGAGGATGAAACATGATGGTAAAGAAATATTTTCATTTTGTCTTTATAAAAGGGGCTGCAAAAATATGTGTCCATTAAGTATTTTACTAGTATTATAATAGTGTTTCTAGGATTCATTAAATACTGAAATTCATTTAATTCATTAAAATCATTTTTAATATTTTTATTGTAATACATTATAGTTTTTATTTTTTTAATAAATAATAATGTTTTGCAGGTAAAGTGGTAATTTAACAATGACTGATAATTTTATGGATGAGAAGTACAAATTGATTTTGAAACAGTACTGGAAGACATTATTACTGATATGTTTATATAATCAATACAATACGTTTTGTGTGCATGTTTGTTTTTTATTACTGTATACCTACTTTTGCACACCATATATATTATTAATACAATAATATCAAAATCCGCTATTGGGAGTATCAGATGAAACTCTTAATAGCAGATTTGATATTATTTTATTAATAATATTATCATATATTTAAGTTCTGTCGATTCTGACATTGAGCCATACTTTATATTATATTTTAAGTTTTTAACTTATACTTTACTATTTGTGCGTATACAGGGTGTGGCAGAAATACTGCCCACATTTTAAACTGTCGCCTGTGTGGTGCTAGTGAACAATGGTGCCTTTATCTAGTTAATGGTTTACCATATCTTTTCAGATACTATTAGTTACTATCATGACTTGGACCAGTGCACACTGTGCATTTGCTCTTGAAACATTTTTTTTAAGACTGGTGAATCTGTCAATTGCAGCATAGATGAGAGCTTTTTGTACTCATTTCATCTTATGTCAGAATGATGCTGTTCTGGATAGAAAATCAACTGTCATGGGTTGAAAATTTCAAGGCCACAGATTCAGAGTTTAAAAAAAAAGCCACCTGGAAGAAAGACCTCAAAGCACTCAAACTTCTTAAGTGATGGAAAACTTTAGAAATCATCTACAATAGTGTATGGCAAAAAGAGACCACCTTTTGGAGGATTTCATTTTTAACACCAAATGAATAAAAACTATAACCCTTTGTTTAAACAACAGTGAAATAAAATTTTTAATAGCAGTTACCTTGGTTTTTTTTGTTAACCTTTAAAATGTGGGAGGTATTTCTGCCATAGCGAATTGAGTCACTGTCAGTCACTGGGCATGTTTCTAAAAATAAATATTCTAAAATCCACCTTCATCCCTACCGT